TATATATACTGTATATTTCATGCACACTTTTAGGTGTATTGTGTGGGGTTCTGGTAAAACACAGCAGGACAACCCCAGTCCTGGGTCATTTTAGCTTACCTGAACATAGTGTTCAATGTCACTATCCCCCCAGTTTTTCAACACCAGGTGTACCATATTTTCATAATTGTGTTACATATAATGTATAGGCTCTTGGGTTCACTCTCAAGTGGCTTCCGCAATATCAGGCAGTCACCTGTTTTGTTTCACAAAGGGTTTATTGAAAGAACACAAAATGAAACATAGTACAGGCAAGTTAAAGCGACACTAAACTCAGGAGTTAAATCTTAAAAATGCATTCAAGTACCTTAACTATTAACAAAAATGTTTCTTATTTGTGTATCACTCGGCTGTAGATCTTCAAATCATCTCTGAATGTGTGCTGACACTGTCCTTCCTTCTGGAGGGTGGCTACTTTTGATCCCCATGGTTCCTGTGTGTGTTGTAAAGTAGTCACCACTCCAAGTTCGCTCCCGTGATGGACTACAATCTCACGTTTCGTTTACAAAAGTATCACACGGCACTGTGCCCATAGAACCTAATGGAATGTAATGTGACATTTAAATAAAGTTCTAACAAATAAAAGTGTTAGATGCATCGCGATCAGCACTGTGGCGGGCACACCAGCAGCCATGTTGCATAGCGTGGCTGCTGATGAGAACGGGCTAAGAGTTCTCTCAAATGGAAACATTCCTTGAGCTCCTGGCAGTAATCTGCCAGATCTCCTGCCCGTCTTCAGGGGATAGAGAAGAATTAAGTTCAGTGTTCCAGTAAGTTTGATATGGTTTCGTTATCGTTTAGAAGATACAAATGAGGAGCAGATGAAGGATACCATGCCAGGCAAAGGGATCTGACCAACATTTGCTTTTGAAGGGGGTAAGTATATAGGATGAAGGATGTGTGTGGGGTGTCACCTGTTTTCATTCAGTTAGCAAACTGTATTATCAAGGGAATGTTAAAGGAGAACTATGGGGTTAAGGCTTTTTCCCATAGTTCTCCTTAGGGTAACGGGAGGACACAAACTAGCGTCCTCCCGTCACAATAGGCTCGCGGTATACTAAAACAGTAGAAAGGCATCATGGCACACTCACAAACCAGCATGTAAAACAACTTGTCTCACCACTAAGGATAATAACAGAGGTTTGGATACACGTCTTCTGCAGAGGATGTGAAAGCCGCACTGCCGCGCCAAGGCACCTCTTATAGTGCGGTCCTAACTCTAAACTATGAGAGTCTCCATCTTGGAGCACATGGGGGCAGAAGATTTCAAATTGGGTGCAGGTTTGTCAGGAGGACGCCCAGCCTCCTTAAAAGCACAGAAACACACAAGGGATCCCGCACATCCCAATGGCAGCTGAGAAACCCCATGCGTCGCTGCACCAAATCGGTCAAGCAAAACAAACGACAAACGCACTCAACAATTTGTCACCAGTTATACAGTAAGGTGCACACGAAATGGGCTTTGAACAGTAAAACAGTAGAAAGGCATCATGGCACACACACAAACCAGCATGTAAAACAAAGCCCATTTCGCGGTATACTAAGATGCCGCAGCTGAAGCGGATCCCGACAATTATGTCTGGATCCGCCCAGCTGCGTGACTGACAGCTGGCTCTGCCTACCTAGAGGCAGAGCCAGCTGTACCCGCCCCCTCCCCGTCCGTTCCGCCAGTCAGCACTGGCGGATCGGAGCGGGGAGGGGGGAATCCAGCCTCTCCCCTGTCACGGCAGAGAGCTGTGACAGGATCGAGAGTTGAGCGAACGCCAGTATGTGTTCGCTCACCTCCCGATCTACTGATCCGACCTGTGACAGTCTCATTGTCACAGGTCGGCTAGAACTATGAGGTGAGTGAAAAGCACTCACCACATAGTTCTCCTTTAAAGAAGAAGTATTGGGAGAGTAAAATCTACTCTTCCCTATACTTAGAGCTGGTGTGGGAGAGTGCACCTTTTACACCCCGGCTCTATACTGAGAGTTCAGCGATAATATAACTGTTGATCGCCCAGCTCATGGCTGACCCCTTAGCAGTTTATTATTATCAAGGGACCTGCACTATGGTAACAAACACACCAAGCCGCTGTGCTGAAAAATTTGTAAACAATGACACAAATTAAAGTATATCTACACCAAATTGCACCGCGCTATAGAGAATAACATTGTTTAGTGACTAAAACTTGTTAAATAAATATCCTTATACATATGAAAACCATGTGATGTACAAACAAACGGCAATACAAATCTTATAAACATAATCACACTTGGTAATAAGATCTAAAAAGTGTCTTTAGAATCAAGCGTCCTTCAAAATTGTGCTGATAAAGCCAAATGTGCCTTTCAGAAAGTGCGCCGTGCTTCCAAATAGACCAATCCACCTCGTTGTGATAGTGTCAGATAAAATCTGCACTCACCAGATTTTAGTGACCTCTATGGTCATACAGCTTTTTGGTGCAAAAATCTGCTTATCAGCTTTCAATCTCTCTCCATCATGTCCGTCTCCATATGCAGAGATCCAAAAACCGTTCCCCAATCAGAGGGGAGACATATGAAAACTCATTGTGTAGTAAGCTCTTATAAAACCGGCTTTTTAAAAGTAGATTAAAAATACTCACAAACATGAAACTAAAACGATCACTTTGTAATCAACTGAAGCTCTGCTCCGTATCACTTGTTTGCTCCTAGGACGTAATGACCTCAGCATGTACTCGCCCATCTATGCATTTCATCACAATTGACTTTGTCTGGACGGCGTGCATCCCCCTAGCAGTCACTGGAAGGATAGACAGTGGAGGGGTGGGCACAGCTGGCTCTAGAGAGGCAGAGACAGCTGTCAATCAGGAAGCTGGTTGGATTCAATCTATATTGTCGGGGTCCTTCCTGATTGCAGCGTGGCTCTGGGCTGTCAGCAATTAGCCCTCAATATGCTAAATTTGATTCTCTTTCTCTTGCTGTGTCTGTATGTACATGTGTACATAGGGTATGTTTATTATATATGTGTGTGTGTGTGTGTGTGTGTGTGTGTGTGTGTGTGTGTGTGTGTAGGTATGTGTGTGTATGTGCATACCTACTTAAGACCTTGGTTGTACTTATTTACCACAACAACAATGCTATAGCAACTTTATTTATTATATATTGGAACATAAAAACATGTTATTCATTTTATAAGCATTTATACTGTGTAATCAGTTTAAAATAAATCTTGGCATGCATCTTTTGTGGTTCTTGGTTAGATTTCTAATGCCCTCTATAGGTTTATTGCAAAATTGGTTATAAAATACTGTAAGGCCATCTGAGACCTTTATATATAGTACACCTGAGAGACAAATTCCCCAGGGTCCAGTTTATGAAAGCAGCATTATTATCTATAGATCTCATAAAACTCATAACCAAGAATAATTGAATGGTACAAGTATCCCTTGACAACTTTATTTTCCCTCACAGGTATCCTATGTGAAAGCCATTGACATCTGGATGGCCGTTTGCCTTCTGTTTGTCTTTGCTGCTTTGCTGGAATATGCAGCTGTAAATTTTGTATCAAGACAACACAAGGAATTCCTAAGGCTTCGCAAGAGACAGAAAAGACAAAGCAGGGTAAGATAACTTTTTAGTAAACTATATACATAGTTACTTCCTTTTAAAATGTTGCATTTCAATATGCCAGTTATTCCAATGCTATAGAATGTTCTTTTTCATTTGTTTTTTGTTAATGCTGTTAGACCATTACGTATATGCAACTGGTAAGGTATAAAGACATGTCACTTTTAAGAAAAAATCTTCATTTTAGATGGTGCTGTAGCCAAAGGACTTTAAAGCTCCTGGCCCTTGAACAAAAAATATGCTGTAGGTAAATAAGAGCTTCTGTTTATTTACAGCTTGGTTTTACCTTAATGGTACATAGAGTGCGGGCCAGCGGACAGCACATTGCATTAGGCACAAATTGGTACAGACTTGCAGTTTTGTGCCCAATAAAATGCATTATCCACTGACCTGTTCTCCTTGTGCATTTCAGCCTATGGTTACCATTAATGCACCAGGCAGGAAGATGCTTCTGAAAAGGCTCATCTGAATGTGCCTATGTCCTGAAGTCATTCTGTGTTGTTATACTATTGCCTGCACATTGAACTGTATAATACAATGTAAAAACAACAGTAACTTAAAAAGGCTGTGTTATATAAAGTAGAAAATGCTTTATAATGTAGGCATTCCAGCTGTTCCACTTGGACCTATCCATCACATTGTGGTGCCTTATTTCTTGATCTACACATTTCAGTCACTGCCCTTGGTAACCATGGAACCCCTTAGTACATAGGAGCTGCCAGTCAATTGTCTAGACATTGTACATTTTTACCAGTCACGCATTTCTTGGTGATATTAAGGAATCTTTCATAGATACAACACCATTTATCCACTCTTCTATGGAATATAGTATGATATACATTTCTCAACTGGTGTTTATGTTACTGTATATTACACTGTGGTTAATAGTAGTAAGTTCTCTATTTTACACATTGCTATATTCTGTAGCTGATTTAACATCCAAATATACTTCAGAAGAAAACGGGTCCCCTTTAGGAACTGAACATGTCCTGCTTCCATTTCATTAGTTCTGAGCCGAGCCGTTTGTCAGCCAAGTATCATATTGTAAAGCCATCCCTTCTGCATTTTTATTAAGAGACAGCTGTAGAGTATTTGCTGTATTAATTACCAAATTTAGATATCATTTTCCCCCTAGATAAAATTCATGAAGCCCTTTTTTAAACAGCTCTTGTATTGTCATGCTATATATCAGAAAATTGCAACCAGAACTGGAGGCAGTATGTTGCTTATCCATAATTGCCATCTGACTATACAGTGTAGTAACTGAAAGCCCAAAGGAAACAAGGACATGGTTGATACTAGAGCTATAGAGTATGAAGACCCTGCAAAGCCCCCACCTACATTCAGTCCATCACCACCTATATTTCAGTCTCGTTGATAGTCAAGCTTCCCCTGCAAAAGCTTTAACAGGGTATGTTATTTGCTAGGTATATTGTTGCTTTCTTTGACTATAGACTATTAAAGAATGAACTAGTACTCATGAAAGTTTAACTTAGTTGTTCTTGTAAACAGAGCACTGAGAATTTATTTTTTAAATGTTAATGGTGTTGCACAAAATGGAAGAAATTGCTAGATAATGGTTAGTAAATTTCCAGTCTGTGAATAATGTTCTTGAAATTGTTGAAAAACTACAGTACAAGGGTGAATTACAGTTTCATAAACTAGTCAACAGTCAACATTTGCTGGGTTATTCTGGAAATATATATTTTTTAATGGTACATGAGGAGAAGAGTCCCCAGTGGCACACGGAGAGCAATAAAGAAAATTTCAAGCCTCCAACACTTTCACATTCTATTGAAACTTTTTTAAGTTTTGGATAAAGTTTGGCTTCTGTAATTCTGTAAGCTGGCTTATTTGTAATCTCTGCATTGGTTGCACTGGAACCCTCTTTTTCTCTAAAAATTTGACTGATAAGTTATTAAAAAAGCCAGATAAGCTTTGCACAACTGTTGAGTAATACACAAGTAAGGGGTATTTAATGTAAGTGCTCCTTTGTGCCATTTTCTGAAATCAATGTGTTTTGAACCAAAATGAGAAACTGATGGCTGCTTTGAACTTCAGAAACCATTTGAGCCTTTTTTTCTAAGCAATCTTCTAACAACTGTGCAAAATGTTAGCAAAATGTTGCTAACAAACTGATGCTCTGTGAATATGGGTGCAGTTTGATTTTAATGATGTTCTGTTCCATGCTGGTTATTCAATTTCATTGCACCAAAATCACAAAGTGGTGCTGCCGGAGTTGTCCACATTTGTATAGAGCTGTCTGGGATGTCACAGCCTCACTCCTGGCCAGGGGGCAGGATACAAATGAGTCTGTGCTCTTAGGATTGGTTTGTTCAGTGGCAGGTTCTGTTGAAGGCTAGAGCTACTTGTTCAATGGTATAATTAATACACAGATTAATAAGTTGAAACAGTTTTAGAATCCAAGCAATCTAAAAGATACTAACATTTTTACCAATTGTAAAAAAAATGGGTACAGATTAAATACAATATTAGGAGCTATTGAACTCAGGCTAGGAAATAATGACAACCACAGAGAAGGCTGAGAAAAGTTAAACACCAACTGAAATTTCCCTAGGCACATGGCTCCTGAGACTTGTCAATCCCTAAACGAGAAAAAAGAAAGCGAGAATGGAAGTGGTTGCTGAGGGCTAAAGAATATTGTTACTTAAAATGTACCTATGAAGACTGTAAAGTAGGTAAACAGCCTCCAGAGCTGTAAAACATGGACTTCCAGGTGCCTGGACACAGACTGTGTTTATTTACAGAGTGTCCAAGGGTTCTGGATTCCAAGGATACTCCTAAAATGTGCAGACTGCTTTCAGAAACCTGGGAGTACTATCCTGGAAGCAGTTTACCCCCTTTATTGCCCATCCTCACAAATCTGTTGAAACCACATTTTATGGCTAGTAGGGCATTCAGGGGGTTGAGTGGGGATTCTAGGCCACTTTAAAAATAAACAGAGGATGCGCTGGGGAACCAGAAGGTACTTGCCCCATAGTCCTGGGGGTTGTTTATTTACATTATTCTCCCCACCGCTTTGCTTTAGCTATATGTGTGCCAATTTCATAAATGCCCTTTTGCTAACTTCTTCTTTTACCAACAGTTTATTTCTCTAATACTTTCACAGTATAAATGTAGATAGCTGGGAACAAAAATAAGTGAATTTGAAAGATATAAGACTTAGCAATCTTATAAATCTTGAATTGAAAACTAAGTGCATGTTCTGAATACTAAGTATGTTCTGCTGGGAAAAATACGAATTTCGTACAGGGCTGTAATTTTCCACAACACATCTATGGCTTGATATATTTTATTATGCATGCTTTAATTTACATAGTTACATAGTTACATAGTATTTGAGGCTGAATAAAGACATTAGTCCATCAAGTCCAACCTATTAGGATCTCATTCTAGGAGTACCCGTACCCCTGTATATTACGGTCCCTTAAGAAATCGTCCAAAAGTTTCTTGAACAATTCCACATTAAAACAAATAAATAACATGCTTGTGAGAGCCTTGTTGACTTAATGTCTTATAATTTTATATTAAGTTAATTGTGTGAAAGCTTGTACCCTCCTGTAGGCACAGGGTCATGCAGACAATTGTGTTTACAAAGGAGTAGGATAGCGAACATGAGTACAGCAAGCGGTGATTAAATGGATAAAAGGCGTACAAGAAACAGATTAAACATTCTTCCTCTTCATAAGATGCTACATAAGACAGAGGATATTTTTGCACTAGGCTAAATGTGCAGTTAGCATATACCTATCACGCAGACATAATGCTACTATGAAGGTTGGCAAGAGTAAACACTGTGTTTCTCTTTTTCCCAAATAGGAACATTGCAAATCATTCTGAAGGGTGAGTTTTAGAAAGTGATTAGGAAAACTAACATTTATTAAAAGGAGACAAGGGGTATAGGGAAACGCCAGTGTTTTTTCCCCTGTTGAAAGCAAGGTCTACTCCAGCTTTATTGCTATAATAGTAGTACAAAAATGTACCTGTGAGGAAAAAAAGTTAGAATAAATACTTACCTAACCACAGTCTTATGTACTGCAATGGGCAGGATTCCTAGGGAACAATAAGCACCCCAAATCACATGAGTTCATAATTCTTGCCGGAAGGATTGTGATGTCACTCTCACACAAGCAACTTGAGCACAACGGGCAAGGTAAGTAAAGATCATAACTTTTTTTTCCGTACAGGTAAATTTTTGTACTGTCATTATACAGTGATTTAAAAGGAGAGAGGGGGGCCTGATCTAACAATCTATAAGGTGCCAGTCTCCCAGTCTGGCTTTTTTTTGTCAAATTGTAGGACTATCTGGTGTCTATGACAGCCCAGCTAAGCATTGTTTCGGAACGCTATAGGGTTCATTCTCTTTACTATGACTACCTGAGCTTTTTTGCCATAATGATTGGTATTTTTGACTTTTTAACTTCATTCACCATTGCTGAAAATGATGTTTGCTATGGCCAACAAAGAGAAAAAAAATAAAACTTAAAAACTCAAGAGGTTCAGCTGAGAACCTATATGTAAGTTGAATATAACAGTATGATTGTTATATAATGAAGAGGCTAATTTCATAATTGCAGCGAGCTCTGAGTTTGCCTCCTTTAATCAAAAATGGTCTAAATGTAGGTGTGGTTTAAATGTTCCAGATGTAACTATTAGGATGTTGGTGGGTATGCTATCCTTTCAGCGCGCTTTTCATTCAGTGCTTTGAAACGCATCCTAATGTATTGTGGACAAGCCATTACTTTTTGTTAATCTTTCCAAAAATGCCTTCTTTGAGCTTTCATTAGGTATTATTATTTCTTATGATTTATTATATTTTGCTGCATTATTGTGTAATGTGCATGTTTAATTTGTGCTTGTAATGTGTTCTGTTTTATTCATTGCTCTGTTCAAGAGTATATATTCTGTTATTGCTTTTTTGCATGTTTTGTGCTTTTTTTGTTTAATCATTTTGCTGTTCTTCCATTCTTGCT